CTATAAGAAAAACCCGATCCGAGTAGTCCTGAGCAGGCCTCGTGGATGCTGCGACTGCTGTGACTCGTCACCAGGGACTGCAGTGGTGCTGGGAGCAGATGGTGGTGGATGCTGCCGAGCACGTGGAGCTAGGCCCAACTGTCCCGAGATGCGACAGGAAGCAGCCCAGGAAGCCAGGAAAAGCATGCGAAAACCTTGGTTTTTTTATAGACTGTGGCCGGAAAGGGGAGGGAACAGTACTGATCTCTGACCCTCCAGGGTCCTACAGACACCACCAGTCCTTCACTTTCAAGCTGGTAACTCTTAAACCATAACAACTAGGTATATCTTGGAGCTGGGTTATGTATGAGACTTTGAACTATCAACTAAGGAAGCTCAAGTAGCTTGCAGCTATTACTTAACTCATTGGGATAGCAAGTTGTATACCACTTGAAATGATGGAGTTGTAAGGCATATTTCTCCACTGCAGACATAAATAAATCAGCCAGGTACCTTTGTTGTTACCTCAGTGTTTAGGTGTTATGTGAAATAGCTAATATTAAACTGGTCTTGGAAATCCAGATTACTTAATCTGTATGCTGGCAGTACAGCTGCTACACTTAATGTTGAAAGGTCCTTGGTGTTTGAGAGCCAAGCAATGGAAGAAGCTGGTATTTCTAGTGGAAGATGTTTTCCTGCTTGTATACACCTCTGCTTTGTCATTACTTTTCTTGTGTTCTGCTAGTGCTTGGCTCATTTTTACTAAAAATTCTTCTTAAAATGGTTGGCTCTGGTATTCCTGGTTTGTTTGTCTGTGTATCTGAAAGACAGTAAAACTTCTGTGAACAGAAGTGAGTAGAATTAAATTGCTTTATTTTAATTTTTCTTTTCTTTGCAGCAAAAAGTTGTGAATACACAGTGTGGCTATGATGTCAGAAAGGAGGTACGGTGCTGGGATCTTGCTGTCTGTCATGTTCTGTGCCTGCATAGGCAAAACTATAAAAACTGGAATTACTGATTGTCAGCTTAAAATTCTGGAAACTAATTGACTGTGCTACATTATACTATAAATAGAGTGTTGTGGAGATTTTTTTCCCTGGACTCTGGGAGAGTGGAGAATACAAGTGATGGAACAGGTAAAGGGAAAGGTGTGTTTCAAAAAGAGGTAGAATTTGCATTTAAATGCATTTGCATTTAAATAAATGCAATTATGCATTTCAAATTATTAGTTTTAATAATCTAACTCTGAATTCTATTATCTGCAAATTCTGAAGTATTCTAATAACAGGATTTGCAGAAAAATACTAATGTCCATGTCTGACATTCCCTGATTTTATCTGGTCATATATGTATTTCTGGAGTCTGGTTAAAAATATTGCTGCATAAGTGACAAATCATTAAGTTTTAGGTGATTTAATTAGATGATTGACTGATCTTGTAATAAACTTGAGCAGAAAAGTAATATTTTTATTCTTCCTTTCTGCATTCAGAGCAAGAGTCAATGGGATGATCAAATTTTTGTCAAAGGATGTATTTTTGCCCTTGAAGCCTGGCTACCCCAAAATATCTACATTGTTGCAGGTGTCTTCATAGCTATCTCACTGCTCCAGGTTAGTTGTTTTTGTTATGCTTTGAAAAAAGTTTCAAGTTTGCAGATGCAGACCTGCTGAAAGGTAAAAGTAGTTATGGAGGGAGGTGGAGTATATAATTTAACACTGGATTTTTTTAGGTATGAGAATAATGTGGCAAAAAATAATTAGGGGATTTAGAGTGAAAAGAATCTGATATCAACAGGTTTAATTCTGTAGAATTTATGTTCCTCAAAGCAATGAAGGTCATTACAAAAATACAATACAGTTATAATGCATATAGTGTATGTTGATTGTGATTTATATTGTTATATATAATATAAAAATATGCTAATATATAAAATAATGTGATTCATTAATATATTTCTTACATTTCAATATGTGGTGAGGGAGGAGAGATCTTCTGGTCATCTGCTCCAGTAGATCTGAACTACAGCCTTCTATCACAAGTGTGAAATTACTAAAATACAATTTTATCGTTTATGTTAAGCCTACCTATCAGTTGGCTGTAAGTGACTGTTGTGGTTTATACAGTTGCTCTATCACCTGCTGCATCCTCTCACCTGAGGAGAAGGGTCAGGAAAGGGAAAGGAGGTTCATGAGTTGAAATAGAAATATATTTAATAAAAATAATAATAACTAAAAACAACTAATAATAATAACAGCTATAACATAAGATACACAGAGTTGTACTCAGCCAGTATTGTGGGGGAGTAGGTCTCAGGGTTAGGACATTAAACAAGTCCCTCTCAGATGTCAGCCATGAAAGAGGGAGCAGAAGGGAGAGGAAGAGGCACAGAAGGAGGGCCATCCCCAGCAAACTGCCCAGTTTGTAGTGAATGTGATGTTGATGGTATGAATAGTATTGATTGGTCAGCCTGGGGTAACCTTGGGGTCAATTCCCCTACTCCCTTCAGCCTCTGCATCTGTTTATCTCAAGACTACAGAAGACCTCGAGCACTATGGCAACCTGCATACCAGTATTAGCTGAAACCCATAACAGAGTTTTTATTCAACTTTGTTCCCATGAAATAGTGTGTCGTAGTCCTTACAGAATTGCAGTTTTCCTCAACAGAAAACAGACTCTAAAATTCTGTCCCTCTAAACCAGGACAGTGACATGTAGCATATTGCTCAATAAAAAAGTTGTGACCAGAAGAGCAGGAAAATTGGTGAACAGGGTGCAAATGTGACATTAGCAGAACCTGATGAAGGAGCTGCTGTGACTTTTTCCAGTACCTTGTCAGTACTTGGTACATCAAAGAAAAATAACCAGAATTCTCAGCTAAACACATTAGATTAATTCTTTCAAGGAGGATCCTGTTTTCATTGTGGCAGTTGTTTACACTTGCCTAAATTTTTTTGCTATGGTAGTGTTTTGCTTCAGTGGGAAATAACAAACTTGTAAATCTACACAAAATGTATTTTCCATTTAACTGTAAACAGTTGAACGTAGAGTGCTGGCAAAATATCTTTTCCCAGCCATCGCAATAGTGCCCTCTGTTGTTTGGGTTTTGATAATTTATCACCATCTAGTGGTCGTGCTTCTATGGCTTTGAGAGATGGTGCTCTCCTGAAAGCAACATCTGAAGTTAGGAGGATGTTGCAGATATGAAGCCTAATCTTTTGGCAGTGTGTTGACTGCCAGTAACTTGATGTTACTCTTAGTCGTGTCCTGAGTCTCTGTGAAACCACTCTACGCAGTCACTTGTATTTTCAAATTTGATCTTTCCTGTACATTAAACTGTGTCATGGTGGAACTGAGAGTTAGACATAACCTGTCTATGTCTAAAAGAAATGTTTTGGGTTTTCCAAAAATTCAGCTCGGTATTTTGTTATTTTTCTAAGAATGTTAAATCTAAGGATTTATCTTCAATTTGTAAAGGAAGTTTTCCCCAGGAACTTGAGTGGATGTTAAAATTTCAAATTTAAATGTCTCAGAATAATCTGTGACTTTTCAATTGTGAAAATTTCAATTGTGAAATGAACAAAAATGCCCGATTTGTAAATTTAGCCACAGGTAAACGTGAGTCTTGTAAGACTCAAGTCAACTTGGCTAAGTGGGTTTCTTCCAGCTCTAGGGCACCTGGAAGCTTATTATTTTGAATGCTCCTGAAGTGTTATATGAAGGCATCTTTGTCTCATGAAGTTTATTTCCTGCAAGATTCTGCTGCCTTTATTACTTTTTAGTAATAGTTGTGCTTTGATGGATGATCCTGCCTATGAAATTATATGTGAACCAGCACACACTTTATGAATGCATATCTTTATTCACAAGTGTAGTTGCACTGACGGTGTAATAAGGACACAAAAGAAGTAGATTCCCATGCTGCATTAGTGACTAGTGCTAATAGGCTCTAATTTTCAGAAACATCTGGCAGACTGGTACCTTACAACTGTTTCATCTCACAAATGGTTTGGTTTTTGTCTTTTTAGATTTTTGGGATTTTCCTAGCCAGGACACTGATTTCTGATATTGAAGCTGTAAAAGCAGGTAATGCCTTCTGAGTGTAAAAGCAGACACGTGTTGCAAAAAGTATGTTTTACGGTTATTGGTCGGACATCAATGTGGAAGAAATCACAGACCATGAAATACACCTGTTGTTAAAAGCCTTATGTGGATTCTACCCCAGTCATGCATTTTGTTAGAAGCTGGTACAAAAAAAAAATCTCCAAACACAGACCTGTCTACCTTTTTTTAACAAGACAACTCAGTGCACCAGGATTGATCTCTGAGGACAAAATGGAATTTCCCAAGACATCGGTGGAACAGATTTTAATGATTGTAGCAAGGAGACATGAAACTGCTATAAACCCTTTCCTTGAAGGATTACCGTGAAGACTGTTCTGTTTTCACTCCCAACTGTCCTCATTCTCAAAATGTAATCTTTTCAGAAAACGTGCAGATTTCTTCAGAATCTTAAAATCATTTTCTTATCTACAGTAGACTCATGCAGTCATTTTTCAGCAAGATTCCCAGCAACTGTAATCATCGTGGTATTGAAAATTGGAGAAAAAAACCACCAAAACAGTCACAAATCATCTAGTTCTTGAATTGATTTTTCAGTTGTGGAGAAGTAGGGGTATTTCTGTTTGGGAATAAAGTAGATGTTTCAGGAGCTGGAACTTGTGCTTGACATCAGAGCTTGAGTAACTCATGCTGTTTTGAAAATGCAAGCCTTTTTTCAAGAGGGGAAAAAATTATCTATCTGTAGCATTATGTTAGAAATCTCAATTTCAGGCAAGGGTGTGTGAATCCTTGATGCTCTTTCTTGTCTGAAAAAAATGTAAATATTCTTTATTTATAGAAGAAAACTCTTCAAAAATGCTTAGCTTTTTACTGATTAGTAATATCTTTAAAAAATGCTGTCTGCAGAAATTTCAAAATGCAGCTTGTTTCAGTAGGCAGCAAGCATGCTGTGCCTGCTGTTGATGGTTTTTGCCTTTCCTGTAGAGTTTCTCACAACTGCTATATTGATTTTTGAGAAGTCCTAACTGCTAATATCAGGACTGATGAAAAACATTTAAATTCAGTGTTGAGCCCTGTGAAATCTAGTTTTTTTTTAATGAGGAAATATGCTGTAAGTGAAAGATTGGAATCGTTGAAATTTTAAAATCTTCTGTAAAGCTATTGAACCATCAATTCTGCTTGTATTCTGATATATGGTTCAAATGCCAGTTACAGTATAGTGAACCAGAATGATTTCTTCACAGTAATTTTCTGCATCAAACTGAACTATTTGGGTTGAAGTAGCCTGTTTTGGGGTTTGTTTGTTTGTTTGTTTGTTTGTTTTAATCAGAAGAAAACTAAACTTATTCCCAGCCTCTCTTCCTGGGGGTTCAGTATATGAATCTGTAGTTCAGTAAGATTTCCAGTCTTCTCTAAAAGACTTCAGCATAGTATTTTTAGCTTTAAGATAGAAGTATGTGACTTACAAATAGCTGTAGTTGTCAGTTTTACTGTGGGCCATATAACCATCCTTGTTTACTGCTTCCAGTGGCACCAGTTCTTTTCAGGGAGAGCAGGTTTATTTACAGTGCCTAACATAGTGTAAATTTTAGAGAAGTATATATTTTTATAACAATATTTTACTACATGTAGTCTGTCTGAAGGACTTAATATTTGTATTTCCAAAATATATGGCTTTCTTAAGAAGCCAAACTTTTAAATCTCTCTCTTAATGCCCTTTTTTCTATTTTGCATGTGTTAACGAGCATTTCACTGGAAAAAGCTGATCATCAGTGAGACTCTTTGTACTGATTGTTCCGAAATCCTTCTAGCTTTTAATCTGTGAAGCACTTCACAGACAGTGCTGTACTTCCCATGTGTACTTCAGTTCTTATTCTGACCAGTGACTGAGACACAACAGGAAAAGGAAGTTTGTCTAGAGACGGCTGATTTCCTTACAGCCGCAGAGAACGGTCTGCTATTACTCATCTGAAAAATCTGAAAGTAAAGTCGCTGGAAGTACACTGTGACTTTTTTTTTTAATTATTTTTTTTTTTAGCTTTTGTATACAACAAGAAAACAATAGGAGTAGATCACTGAGGAGACAGTAGAGCTTTGAATTTGAGGTCTATATTACTTACTTGTTGAATCTAGTCTATTAGGAGCAGCCAAAAAATCGCTGCTGTTAATGCTACTTTGCAAGCAGCAAAGCAGTGTCCAGCAACCTTTGCTTTAAACTCTGGTGCTTGGAACTTTACAACACCTCATCAGCCAGCTTGCTCTGTTAAGTTTGTGTGTAATATTCTGATGTGTGTAAAATTGGAGAAGGATGCTTTTTATTTGTAACTTCTTATTTGTAAAACATTGCATTGAAAATTACATGTAGGGAGTACTTCCCCCTTGCCACTTTTTGATACAGAAATCTAATGCTGGGAAGTAATTTCAGCAGTTGATGAAAATCATGGTGGTGTCAAAGATAATCTGTGAAGTTCATGCACTGAAATTAGCTGCCAACAAGAGCCACGATTCCAGTGTCTGCAAATCTTGACAAGTTGCCTGAAAACAAATGAATACTTGTTTTCTTTTTAAAGTACTGATTGTATGCAAAACAGAATTTAATTGAAGTGTTATATTTTAAAAGTTTGTTATTGGCTTGGGCCATATTAACACCAGCTGTATGTCAGTGCTCCATTTATTTGGAACTGAATTCAGGACAGCAAGTTCAACCTATTTGAGGATCTTTAAATTCATAGAGTGATTTGTTTTCACTATGGATAAAGTCCTCTGTGCTTATTCAATATCACTTTTAAAATCCTGGGCCTCTAGGCTGGTTTACCTCTAGACATTTTGGAGTTCACCCCCATTGGTAGGACATATGGCTAGTGTAATTTCAGACTTGGAATGGGAATGCTTTCTTACCACTTTCTACTTAGTTATATTTAAGACCTTGTCTGTGGGCCTGCAATGACTTCATGACTAAAGAGTTAGGCGATAGTTTTAAAAAGTCTTGTCAGCAAAAACAGTTGGGTGTGACTCTGCCTCTAAAGCCTCGAAGGAAAAGCAGTTCAAAGAGAGATTTGATCACTTGCTGATGTTGAGATTTCAGTGGTTGCCTTTGGAACAATTCCACAGACACTACAATGGAAACAAGGTTTTTAATGAAGATGTCAAATATGAGATCAGACTTGAAAAACTAGACTGAGAGAAGGAAACTTTCAGTGTAATCACTTCTATTTCTCAGAAATGAGCACAATTTATTTCTGCGAAGCAATGTATTTATTTGTCGGTATGTTTGAAATTGCAACTACCCTTTTGTTTCTATTAATATACCTGCATTTGGACATAGTTTCCCTGTATGTGAAGAAGAAGATGAATATAAGCACTGAAAAAAGTGCCGTGACCAAAGGAGCTTCGGTCATCTCCTGAAAAACTGAGTATTTCTTCCCAAAGGGTCTTTAGTTTTGGTGACCCTCCTACAGTGCCATGTGGATAGACTTTGTGCCTCCAGTCCATTGAGGTTGATGTGGCAATTGGCTTATGCGTAGAATTGCCTTGGTTTTTGTCTCCCTGTTCCATCCTTTCCTCTTCCTTCCCCCTACTGCCCATGGGTTATCATGCAGCTTGAATGTTGTTTAGCCAGTGGAAGGAGAGGTTCTGTCTCTTCTTCTGAGATGGCTTTTCTGAGTGACTTTCAGTATATTTTTTTTTTCTCAAGCCTTAAATTTGATTAAATAAAATTTCATGTTTTGTACTCTTCTAGTCTGTTTTCTGATATTTGTTGCTTTCAGTCACTATATTTCGCTCTCCAAGGATTAAACTGGCAGCTGAGATTGCAATTTGTAGATAACTACAGAAATAGTAAAGGTCTGCTGGTGTTCATGTGTATATTTTGCTGAAGCTAATTCTTGATTTTTTTTTTTTCAGTCTGGGCTGCTGAATAATAGATAACACAGATGCTTTTCTCTCCACTGTTGATGGAGAAACCATGAACAAGTGAAGAGCTGCAGAATGGTGTAGAGAAATTATTAAATCTCTGGACACCCAAAAAGTTAAAACTGATGTTTGCACTTTGACTGCTTTTAACCACAGTTATCACCCTTGTGATTTGCACAGTATGGTTTGTCATGTCTGAGCAATGTTCCTGTAACTACTCTTGAGAGTGCAGAAGGGAAATGACTTCCAGGTTTGAAGATGACGCTTGCAGAAATAGCTTTGTGTCTGCTTCTTTGACCATTTTAACACTTCTTTAATGCGTTAAAACCTGATTCTAGCTTTAATAAGGTCAGAGAAACATTAAACCAATGGCGATATTAGAATAATGCAATATCTGGAATAGATACTCTAGAATGTTAAGGCTGAGTAATTTCTGATAAGAATGACTTAACTTGAATGTGGTGTGTATGCATAGAACTTGTAGTGGATCCTGATATATCGAATACTAATGCCTGGTTGAGGCATAACCCCAGATCTTAACTCTGAAGTTGAGGTTGTTTGAAGCTATTTCTCATTCTGACATTGGAAATGTGTAGGGTGCCCATAATGCTGCATGCTTTAAGCTAGAGGAAACTGCACACTGTTCAGCTTCTGTTTTTCTTTCCTCTTACTATGTTGTCAAAACCTGCTTGTGTGTTACTCGCCAGGTGACTTGTCTGGGGTAGTTTTATGAAATTCCCCTTCTCAAGAGTACTTCTTTAAGTGATATTTGGAGGCAAATGTGTAGTGGGCTAAATAAAGCTTTTGCAGGAACAAAAAAGCTGTAATATTTCTTTACAGACATAAGCCAGTTATGCTCAAGTTGTTTGAGAACAGGAGGTGTTGTTGACTTCTAAATACTCCCTGCTTTATAACAATTTTGTAAAGGCCAGTACTTCTCTGTTGTTTTTTTTTTTTCCTCAATAACTTACTGGCTGAAAAAGTAATTGTTCCCTAGCTCTTCAGTATCTGCATCTACAGGATTTTGAATTTGTTCTCCTAGGTCTTCACAACGTGACTTTGCAACCTACTTGCAGCTGCTTTGAAAAGTTCCCATAGGAGCAGGTTGTACAATAGATCCTGTTCTTACCTTTTCCATCAAGTAACCATTTTTAAATATGAAAGGTTTCTGTAGAAATGTTCAGAGACATTTGTTTAACTACAGTTTTACATTACCTAAATTTAAACCCAGATTCTCTTACTGGAGATAATTTAATGAAATTCCAGCTGCCTCCAAATCTTCACACATGCCCACGTGTAATTTCTTACTAGTTCTAATTTATATGTTGTCTAAGCACTGTATGGACATTGTCTGCAGTTTCCTGTAAACTTTACTTTTACTGAATCTCATTCCAGGTTGCAATAGCTGTAGCTCTGAAATTAGGACAAGACCACAACCTCAGATACTTAGGAAAATAACTTGTGATACTAGCAGATAAAAACTCAAGGTTGAGCTTTAAAATTGGAAATCAAAGGTGGAGGTGGTTTAAAGGTACGATTTTGTGGAGGTTTTGATGTGTGCAGCTCACAGTTTGATTCACAACACGCAGAGGTTGAATTGATGCCAGTTAGGCTCTTGCATTGTTTAAGCTACAGCTCTCATCTAATCTAAAACTCCATTATTTCAGGTTGCGTGATATAAGCTTGAGATGTTTTTTTGTAATTATTTTCAAGTCCCATTGATGCAAGAAAAGGTTGCAAGTGATACCCTGATTTGGCAGGCCTTATTCCTACTGTGTGTTAGTGGCTCAGTGAAGAGCAGCAGCGATGCAAGTATCTGTAGGCTACATAGATAAGCAAATTAGTATATGTTTTTGTATGTACAGCTTTAAAAGCAGTTCCTGTACACGGTCTCTAGTAGTTTTGGTTATGCAGCAGCATGACAAATGCAAAGTAGGGCTGGCAAAGCTGGAGTCTTATTGCATATGCCTTAGCAGCACAAGAGTGCAGGTTTGCTATGAGGAAGAAGGGAGGCTAGTGAGGTCTCTCTCCTCTCAAAATTTGTAATGTTGTAACAGGTTCTTTGACCACATCTGCATTGCTGTGACTGCAAAGTTGTTCGAGAGTTTCTTTAATCTTGTCCTCTTCTATTGTCTCAGGTCACCTGAATGAGAGATGAAATGCTGATTTTTAACAACATGCCATGGCATAGTGGCTCTCAACAGTTGTTGTAAGATAAAAGTTTGGAGTACGTGCTGCTTAAAATGGGCTGCTCTAATTCAAATAAATTTCTCTCAATAGATATTTTTTTGCCTCTGTTTTTTGTTAGCCTTTCATATTGTTAAGACTCAACTCTTAGTGTTGGTCTATAAAGTGCTAAGTATATACACCTGGCAAAAAGTCTTACAGATCATGTCTGTTGTGCTGGTACTCTGTAATAGCACTGAAGGAAGTAAATGCTTAGCTCTATTCCAGTATCTATGTGACTACAAGGCAAAAATAAGAGTATACTGCAAAGTCCAGCTTGTCTGCCAATATAGGATGGCTCCAGGATTTGAAAGGCAACTTCTCTTATGGCAGATCCTTGCCTAAACATAATAATTCTTTTCAATTTATGTGTTAAGACATGAGACACTGCCGTGAGATCTTTATACTCCCGATTTGAAGGTGGTTATTTTCAGCTAGTGCCACATGTCCAGGGTAAGTCTGATCTTGCTCAAAGCATTTTATGTCTTCCCTAACAATAGAGTGAGAGAAACTGAAATAATATCCTTCATATGTTTTACTAAAAGTTGCTGTACAAAGGCAGCCTTACTAAAATTGCTGTTTTATCTCAGCTTCTGGTTTGCTTGCAGCATAGGCAGAACAAATGTATGCCTGCCAGTGGAAGATTATATGGACTCTTTTCTTTGAACATAAAAATGCTGTGGTATGTACAGGATCTGGGACTGACAGACATTTGTATATGGTGAATTGGGACAAAAATGCCTTTAATTCCAAGGCTCTAATTTTGCTATTTCAGGACTCGATTATGCCACTGACTCACTGGAATAAAGCCTTTCTTTTTTTGTTTAACTGGTGGTTTAATCAACTTCACATAAAGAAGGAAACTACTGAACTGGGAGTTGGTGGTCAATAAAGAATGAACCTTTTTAACATCTTTTACTATTCAATTCAAGGGGAAAAGGACCTGGGGGTCCTGGTGGACAGCAGGATGGCCATGAGCCAGCACTGTGCCCTTGCGGCCAAGAAGGCCAATGGCATCCTGGGGTGTATCAGGAGGGGGGTGGTTAGTAGGTCGAGAGAGGTTCTCCTCCCCCTCTACTCTGCCCTGGTGAGACAGCATCTGGAATATTGTGTCCAGTTCTGGGCCCCTCAGTTCAAGAAGGACACGGAACTGCTGGAGAGAGTCCAGCGTAGGGCTACAAAGATGATTAAGGGAGTGGAGCATCTCCCTTATGCGGAAAGGCTGAGAGAGCTGGGTCTCTTTAGTTTGCAGAAGAGGAGACAGGGGAGACCTCATTAATGTTTATAAATATATAAAGTGTGAGTGTCACGAGGATGGAGCCAGGCTCTTCTCGGTGACAAACAATGATAAGACAAGGGGTAACGGACACAAGCTGGAATACAGGAGGTTCCACTTAAATTTGAGAAGAAACTTCTTCTCAGTGAGGGTGACAGAGCACTGGACCAGGCTGCCCAGAGAGGTTGTGGAGTCTCCTTCTCTGGAGACATTCAAAACCTGCCTGGACGCCTTCCTGTGTAACCTCATCTAGGTGTTGCTGCTCCGGCAGGGGGACTGAACTAGATGATCTTTTGAGGTCCCTTCCAATCCCTAACGTTCTGTGATTCTGTGTGATTCAATGACCATAACATTGCAAGTAGTACATTTCAGTAACAGAAAACATTTGTGTTTTTATGAAAAATATCCATTTCATCCTTTCATCACAGACAACTTAAAATGAAGCTACCTGCATAAAAGACCCAGTGAATTATATTTCATCTCAGGACTTGTGTTATCATCTTGTAGAAGTTTGTGTAAGATTTGAACTAGCTGTGAATCCTTAAAAGATTCTTCAAGAGTTTCTGAAAAATAAGTTAAATCCTGATCTGCTACCTGAAAGAAGCCTGAAAGTGAACATGGCTGCTTTTCAAAAATAAAATTCCTGACTGGCTTAATTTCATATTGTCTATACAGGGATGTCTTGGGCACCTGTTTTCTGTACTGGAGAATTTCTTTATTTTCTGTACAGTGTTTCTTCACTGGACTCATTCTGGAAAACAAAACCT